TTTAGTCTCCATTCCTCTTCAGAGTGTGTTCTCCCAATTGAATTCTGTTTCATGACCTTCTAATTAACTGCAGAATTATTTCCGTTCGGCTCCACTGTGCTGTGGCCAACAGGGATAATGACCTGTCATTTGACTAATACGTGGAAATGAATAATAATTCTTTTATTCCTCACGCCACAGGAACGTGTGTCTGTGGGACACTCTGGTGACGCCTGCAAACTGCCTTGTTCATGGTAAGATGCACATTTTACTTGAGGAATCGGCCAAGCAATTTGTTTTGTTCCAAACCCTAATTATTACTTTTATTTTTGAATATGTTGGATAAATAATTGGCGTCCTAATGTCAAGTAACATGTCAATGTGCAAAAATACCTCTTTATGTGAAATAGCAGATAGTTTGTAGAAGAGAAGCTCTTCTTCTGCATCCTGCCAGTGGAATCCAGTATATGAAGTACTGGACGGTCAGTCTGTGACTGACTGCAGATACAAGAGGAACACTATGTATTTTAATAACATCTTAATGTTTTACTTCTGAGCTAAAGTTGTCGTGGCTCCATGCTGGTGATGCTGGTGACCTTACGTTCTTTTCCCGTTAACGTGACCTCTCAGATTTGGCACTAATTTATCCCGGATTGTCTGTTTTAAAGAAGGTGTTTATTGATCCCTAACGGGCAAGATTGGTGCTCGCTTTAATTCCCAATTTGAGCAATAATAAAATGATTTAGTGAACTGATCATTCAAAACCAAAGTACCAAATGTTTTCTGTTCACTGCTGTCCTTTTTTTGCAACATTCCTCTGAACGTTCCGCCTGTTCACTCACTTTATTCCACTGCGTGTCCCGCTCTCCTTCTCAAAAGCTTTCTGCTGCCACGAGTCCGGAGCCACGGTGCTCTCCATGGCGTCCAGGCAGCAGCTGCTGATCACCGGGGGGAGGAAGGGCTGGATCAGCGTGCTGGAGCTGGCCCACAAGCACCAGCGCCAGAGCTTCCAGGCCCACGACTCGCCCGTCAAAGCGCTGGCCGTCGACCCGACCGAGGACTGCTTCATCAGCGGGTCGGCCGAGGGCAACATCAAGGTATTTCCACCACTTAAGCATCTCAGTACGTTTCCTTACATGTGGGATTTTACGGTCCGGGAGTTTGCTTAGTTTATTTTTAGTTTTTATTAATCCTTATTTGCATTTGCGGATTGCTTTTTAAGGTCCAATTTCAGTCCCAGAAAGGATGATTTTGTTTCTTTGCCTCATTCATTTGGTACGAGAGGCTCACTGAGAACAGTTCTAAAAGCTTGGATTATGAAGCCAGTTTGGATCATTTCCTCAAAACAGCAGACTTTGAACTAACAGAACGGTACTGCAGGATGATTTTGCACGAGCCCCATCAAACTCGCTCAGAGCCAATGTCACACTTCCGATGAAGCACTCATTCAGGAGAGCAGCGTGGCAAATGGAGACTAAAGTGTGAGGTGAAAGCGTTTGGACTGAACAGGCTGCAGAGGTTGCCGCCTTAAGCTAATATATTTGTTGGTCTTTTTTTATCTTTGACTTAAATAACGATTCCCACTGCTGTCGCTCAAAGGATGAAGCCACTGCGACACAGAGAGCTGCACATCAGCTTGAAAGTCAAATGACTTTCATTCTCGCCCAGAAAAACCCTGCGAAGCTTTGAGCTGTGTGACTCATTGAATCTTATTTTAGTTTATCCTATTTTATTCTACTTAGTCTTTCTGGATCAAACAATGCAATTGTGCTTTGTGATGTATTTTATTTTAAAAAATTATATATATATATATATATATATATATATATATATATATATATATAATAATGAGGGTTCAGGTAAGATATTCTACCTTTTCTTTACACTGCCTTTCTTAGTAAAGGTTGTGACTTGGAGCATCTCTCCCTAACGAGCCTTCTTACAAACTGCTAACAGGAACTGACTGGGCATATGGGCATATGTGAAAGTAGCGTAATGACTTAAGTTTATCGTAGCCTCGTTCCCACAGGACTCAACATACCTACATACTTATATATTCCCTCATCTCTCAGTCTGATGTTGATAAAGATGCTCAATAATAACGAAGTGAAGTGAGATGTTAGGAAGCGCTGCTCTGGCTCTGCTCCCCCAGACTGACCTTCCCCTGCTCCTCACCCGTCTACATGAGTCATAGTCGCGCACGTCTCCTTAATATTTTTTAATTGTGTAAACCACCACAGAACAGTCGTGGAAGAGCAAAATGTTTTCTTTACAGGCGATTTATCTTTGACTGCGTCTCTTCTCTGCTTCCCTGTCAGATCTGGAGTCTGGCCACGCAGTGCGCCCTCTACACCTTCCCCAACGAGCACGCCCGCCAGTCGCTGTTCAGGAACCTCGGCACGGGCGTCATGCAGATCGAGGTGGGCCCGACCAATCACATCTTCTCCTGCGGCGCCGACGGCACCATGAAGATGAGGGTTCTCCCCAACCGCTTCAGCATCATCAACAACAACAACAACGACCTCAAGAACGACGTCAAGTTCATCATCTAGGAGGACGGGCCGGTTGAAGCCATCAATCAGGACAAAGTGAAGTGGCCACTGCAGGAGAACAGCCGCCGTCATGGCGCGACGACCGCTAGTGTTATTAACCGCGTAAGTGAAGAACGCGCCACGGGACTCGGACGTTGACAAAGGGAGGCGCCGTGTGGGACGTGACGCCACCCGGCAGGAGCCTCTGCGAGTTGAAGGAGGGGTAACGGCCGAGGGTACAAGGGGACACAATGAGGACCGGGCAGCACACGCACAGCCTTTCCTTCTGCTCCGGTTCCGTTTTCTTTTTTTTGCACAGGAAGTGACGGGAGGCCGTGAAGAGTCTGGAGCTGCAGGGTGGTTCTGCTTGGACGGTATCCTCATCTTAGTTTATAGCAGAGTATCTGTGTGCTCAGATAGTCATTCCTTTTGGGGGGGTTGAGGGTGTGGAACCCCTCTAAAGCCACTCAGCACAATTTTCCACCCTAAATGAGCCAGCCTGGTTTGGGGAGTGTAGTGTAGGTCGAGGGTCAACGTCCCATCGCTATTATCGCTTCATACTTTAAATTTACACTTGTCTCCGGCCTGACTTGAAACGAGCACAGGAAACTGATTTTTATAAAAGTACAAAAGGAAAAACATTGTCTCTGAATAATGAAACTATGCAAAGACTCTTTCTGAGGGAGAGATGACACAAATAAAAACCCTCTTTGGATGCGCGATATATCTATCTGCTCGTCAGGCGTCAACTCTCCACCAGAAAGTGAAGCATATTCCCTTTTTTTTTTACTTCAATGCAAAATATTCTGACTTAATTTGCACGTCCACACAAAGCTAGACGGTATGTATTGGGATGTAAATAGCTAATAGAGATCAGTAAAGCACGTCTAGTATGACTGTTTATCCCGGCCTAGAGTGAACCAGTGGTATATTTATTATTACAAGTGTCCTTTGACTTCTACCACACTGGCACAGTGCTGTACTACTGTTATTATTATTGAGGTTAAATTAAAGCATCAATTAGGCCTTGTCAGGATCTCCGATCCCCCCGAGTCGGTCCTTTGGTATGGGACAACACAAAGAATACGTTTTCTGGGTGTTTTTTATTTTCAGTATTCCGCTATAGTCTATATATAATGGTTTGAGAACTGCCTCGTACACGTTTGCCTTGTAACCTTCATTGTGTGAGACGTCTCCCGTCGTCTGGTTTAATATTCGTTCCCTTTGTCTCAACCGTAGAAATGGCTTCAACTTTCCTTTTTTTAAATCTTATTTCGTGCAGATGCAGCGCATTGCTCTGCGTACTTGCTTGGGATGCGTCATGTAGGTAATAGGACGTCTTCGCCTCAATTAGGAAGGTTCACGCAAATCGTCCCATAGATGTTTAGCTAGACGGAATATAATCCAACCCACTTATCTCTCTCCCCGTAGATCCTTGTGCTGCTGTAGAGAAACAAATGTTCAATTGCTTTGATTTCAGGGAGGATAAACTGAGGAAAACCTTTAAGATGAAGTAGATCTACTGCAGTTATGTAAATACATGGATCCATAAGCTCGGCTTCTCCGAATGAGCACATTATCATAACGCCGAGACGTATATTACAGAAGCCACTTTAGGATGAATATCATTCTGTAAAAATACAGGTATATTTATGAAATATGTTAATATTTAGGGTTCTAGACTGAGTGACCAACAGGCAGATGTAATATTATTTCCTGCTTTCTTTTATTTCCTGATTTTGAGCAACAACATTGCAATGTTCTTGTTTCCCCTTGAATCAAAGTGGTTGTTAAATGATGTTCTGCTACGGGAACCGGAGATTAAGTACTTTTTATCAAAGTGAAACTATATGTACGCTTACCAAAACTGTAGAATAAAAATATTTTTTAATCAAAGTAGGTGCTTTTTTTTTTTCACCGAAACGCTGCTTAAGTTCATTTACAGACTCGTCACCCACAGATCAGCGTAGATTAAAGTAACTCACTCCGCTAAATGCAAAACCTTTTAAAAATCCCTTTACCCTCAATATGCCAAATGTAAATTGTTGTATTAATATGCAGAAAATGTACCGTGTAATAATAAAAAAAGCAAATGAGTAATGTATTAGACTGATTATATTACAGCATTAGAAGATAAACAAACGTCTCAACTAATTTTGTAACAATTACTGGCCAAATAATCAGGTATTGAAGTAACCTCTTCAGATTTTTGCTATTCTGAATAAATTTACTTCCTTTGAAGCAAACCGAGCAATCATAATTACTGATATGAAACGTGAGGTTCATTATTTTTCTAAAGAGTCCTCTGGGGAAGGTCAACTGAAAAATTATAGTATTTTGAATAAAGTCAGAGCAGGTTGAAAAATTTTAGTCATTAAAAGTGAGCGTCGCACGCTGATGTTTGATTTAAAGTTTCTATATAATGACTCAATGTAGAATAAGACAGTATTGTATTTCCCCAAAATGAAGGAATGTCGAAGATTTGAGAAATCTGATCTTAAATTGAACATGCTTTATTGAAAAATACTTCGGATCAAATACGGATCTAAACTTGCTGTAAAGGAAATGTCCATCCAGTTAATTCAGAGGGTCGTATTCATGATTTGGCATTTTGTATAATGATCCATAGTGCAGCATAATTTAAACACTTTATTTTCAAAGAGCAATCATTGAATATCATTAGAATTGACATTTAAAAAAAAGTGAAATTCAGTGAAATTATTCATAACAAAGTCACTACTACATGGTTACAGATTCAGTTTATACAAGCAGCAGAGTGATGGATGGGCTGCATATATATGAACTAACAGCCCTCTGAACTATGAATGTAGTCAGCCTGAGCTTTCCAACACGTTTAGGACGGAATTGGTTATATATAGTATATTCAACCAATGAAGAATTCTGGTTAATTGTGGAAACTAGTTCTTATTGAATAAAAATCAGTGAAATGTTTTTGTACATTTAAAGGCAGATGTGTTAATTGCATATTAAACAGGGATGGATTAAAACAACCCATGTGACACACAGAAGAAAACCTTTGCCTCTAGTAGTCTGTACGTCTACATTCTCATTGAAAGTTAATTTTTTTTCGCATGACTCAGGAGAAGAGAAGACGCCACGCGGAGAGAGCCGGTGCGATGGTTGGTTAGTTTGTGGCGATATCCGATTGGCTCAGAGCTTGGCATGGTCCTTCAGGATTACCTCCAGCTTCTGACTCAGCATGATGTTCCCTCTCACCTTCAGCTTGCCAGAGAAGAATGCCTAAACAAATGACACAAATGAAAAGCTACATCTTCCTCCGGCTGCTGCCTCCATCACCACGGCCTGTTGACGCTCTTGGCGAAGAGCGCCCATACGCTGACCTCAGATCAATATCGGCCGCTCCGGGAAGCCTACCAATTCTGTGGAGTGATGATGTGCGAGATGATGCCGGTGGCACCGATTGATTACCCGCACAGAGTGCTTTCTGAACTCCCTTTGAAGGATAATTGTGTTTCCTTCTTCTGACGTGATGAGCTCGAGCGAGAAGTCGTTACAGCCTGAACGGCCTTAATTGAAATGTACAAGACGGGGTTCAAAATAAGAGGCTCTGTTTTTCACCAGAAAAATATATTGACCATCTTTTTTGCAAAGGGAAAACGAGCATCACTGTACAGCAGGAGGTCGTGTGGTCCAGCTTGGACTACTTGTTCGTTACCTTCTGAGGGTTGAGTCTCCCCTGCACCACCTCCATGAAGTCCTCATCTGACACGGTGATGGTCACATCCGCCTTCCCACCAGCAGGACCTCTGTGCAGGGAGCCGCTGCCGTTCTTCAGGTCCATGGCTGGAGGAGGTAAAGACGCTGCATTAGCGATGAGCCGTTGGGACTTTCTATCAGCACGGGTCCGCTTAGCAGCTCGTAACGAGAGGTGAGGCTGTGTTTAATTGGCCTTCGGCACACTTACTCCACTCGGCGGCGCTCCGGCTGTCTTTGGTGATCTCCCAGGCGAACACGGCGTTCACCTTCCTGACCAACTCCGAGCCCGAGTCTTTAATACGACGGCCGATCTCCGCAAACACCAGCTCACTCTGCAGCGCTCCGTGCTGCACAAAGTCAGAAGGAACAGAATATATATCAATAGACACAAAATAATAAAGGATCGACAGTACAAGGAAAAGCGCTTCAATGAGAAAATGTCATAAAAGACGTTTTTCAGACTGACGTACTTGGGTGAGATTTCCCAGGGAAGCTTCTGAGGCGCCATGTAAATCCACGTAGGCGCCAGCGAGGACGACGGCGTCCGTCTCCTTCACCTGGACCAAAGAAGAGCCAATAAGACGCATGCAGGACATTCCCTGAACACACAATAACGCACTGAAGTGACCGTTAGCTCGCTTATGACCATCCGTACTGACTTTACACTGGAGGTGAATCCTGTTGCCTTCCTTCCACATCTCAGTCTGCAGCGACTGACCCGGCATCACCGGCTTTACAAAGCGAACCTGAGAAAGAATGCAGCCGCGGGGGTCAAGAGGCCATCGATGTGTAATTCAATTCTTGAACGCATACATATGAATGTTATAGAATCGCTCAAATGTTCCGGGGAAGAATGAATCTGCATACATGTGGTTCTCGCATGAAGCCCATTGACTCCCAACCTGCACGAGTGGGTCTCAATCCAAAGGGCTGCTCACCTTGATGGCCTTGAACCTGGAGGGGTCGTTGGCAGCAAAGTGCTTGAGGACGTGTCTCGCAGCGAAGCCAAACGAGCACAAGCCATGCAGGATGGGAGCCTTGAAGCCTGGTTGTGGATACATGACATCAAAATATAGGACTCGAAAGGGAACGTTTTGTGTCTCGACCAATAGAAATTCAGATTAGATTTTGATGACTGATCAATAGATGGACAGACTCACCTCCCATGGCAGCAAAGCTGGGGTCTATGTGGAGCGGGTTCCAGTCTCCGCTCAGACGGTACAGGGCCGCCTAGAGGAACCAGATATTGTTTAGATTCATATCTTATTCATGAACCCCTGAACTTTTCCCACACAGATGTTGGATGGAATTAAATTATCAAGAAGGCAAAGGAACAGATACCTAAAATAGGAATGTCTTTGAAGTGATACAGTTGCAGCCATTTAAAGTGCTCAAGGGTTTTTTTTCCGCTTTGCCCCCTCCACCTTCTTTTCTATTTTCTGCTGCATCATACAGTAGTTTTTTCCTTTTTTCATGCATGATAATGTTGCCCAACCCTTCAGAAGCTTATTTCAGAGGAACCAAACAACAAAAGGTCCTATTTTACACTAGTCGTCAATGCAGCGGATTTATTCTGCAGCTCTCAGACCCACTCACCTGGTCTCTGGTGGTAGAATCAATCGCCACAACATCTGGTGCCCGTTTGGGTGGAGGCACAGCAGCCTGAAGGAAATAAAAACAAATCCAGCATGAGGCGGGGACAGTCTCCCCTGTCTCTTTCTGTTACCGACACATGGAATACGTACTTTGGCGTTGTCGGAGGTTCTCCTCCCTCCGAACCCTCCGGCTCCGACCACAAACACAGAGAACTGGTTGAAGCAGATCAGCTGGTCGCCACTGAAGGTTTTCACTGGAAAGAAGCGCAAACGTGGCATTTAAACACAGGCAACGTGCAGCATTAAAGTCCTTTATACTTAACGTCATCATACGTTTGATTTTATTTTCTAAAGTAATGAACTAATATGCAATTGTTGCCCACTAGTCGTTCAATGAAACCATTTTTTATCGTCCAAGAATTTAATTGCAATAAACATTGTCATTTGTAGAACATTTCATGCCGGTAATATAAACGATGATATAACGCCATGATGACGCAAGAACGCCAGTAGTAATTAACTTACTTCCTAAGAATATTCAGACACTGAAATATCTAGATTGAAATTAAATTACCATACAACCAAAACAACACAAAGTGGCCTCTCAAGCTTGGTTAAATACGGAGTTGTTCAAATGAATGATTCATGTATTCGTTGCCTGCCAATGGCTTTAAATGACACGTATCAACACACATTACGAATAACAATACACGGTGGAGGGACTCACCAAATTTCTCGTTACAGCACATTTGGAATGAAATCAGCGGGAGGAGACATGAAAGGAAACGCATGGAAGCTGACTAAGAAGCAACAATTACACTCACGAGACGGTTCATTTCATTAGGTTGGATTCAAAAATACAACCAGGCGCAAACGTGGCTGCTCCTCCGAGACGGAACTGTAATGTGTTTGCTTGCCCAGAAATAACCTCCACACCGGGAGGATGCCACGCACTGATTGGGTCTTAGTATTAGGAAATCACTCGAATGCTCGTGGAACCTCGGGTCCCGCGGGATTCGTTTTTAAGTCAAATTCATTATAGATCAGAGCGGTTCTAGTATCGTGCAGCTCTGTGGAATTGTCTAACGGGAGGAGGAGCCGTTGCCCGGCCATTATTTCGATCCCCGCAGACGCGCGCTGAAAGTTAACTTTCAGGAAGAGACTAATTAAAGTGAGGAGAACAAACGCGTGTGGAATGAAAGTGAGTCTGCGCTGGAAAACACACTCACCGTCCAGGAGGATGACGGCTCCGGATCCTTTGTCCAGCACGTCTGCTACCGTGGCCTCAGAGGTAAGTGTACCTGCGAGGAAGTATTTGAACCATTTACATTCTACTTGAATAAAATGTCCTACGTAAGTCACACAAGTGCTTAATATTACCAAACCAGTTCTGTACTTTATAACAAATGCCAACAAACATTTGATGACTCCACCTTCTCCAATGTGACACTTTGTCCCAAAATATTAAATCAACTTTAGAGTAAGATGTGGGAAAATGGCAGTCTTTGAGTCGCATCTACAATTAGTATGATAACAGAATGTAAACCAGTATCGTATACCAGATTAAACCATCGCGGCTCTACAGGGTAAGCTGCCCTTAGAGATCCTCACAGTTGGTACAATTACATTGAGTAAGATGAATTACTGCATTGATATCATTTCAATAAAAATAATAAAAGGAAATACCTGAGGTTGGTAAAGGTTTGTAAAGTTCCAGATACTGCTCCCCATGCAAAACCTGACGCACAACATTAGAACAGCTGTGATGTACAACAACAATTTCACGAGCCTCATTAGTAACGTGTGCATCGCTGTGTGAAATACACCATATGGATACAATGGCACATTCGAGCACACGTGTGAAGCACACACACAATGTGTGTGTTTTCTGACCTGTGTAAAATCTATGTTGAGTCCAGGGATTGAGCTCAGGCCGCCGTCCATCATGGCGGCCTGGGAGGGAATGACCCCGAAGGTTGGGAGGCAGCTGAAGTCTTCGTGGCCTTCATACAAGAACCTGCATGACAACGTAAAGAGTTACTGAGACACCGCATGAGTAGTTAGCATGACCGGAGACACACACACACACACACACACACACCGTAGGTGGTCCGGGTCCTTGGTGGACATGCCGACCCCCAGCGCATAGAGGATGCACTGGGCGGGAGTGAAGGTGAAGGTGGACGGTGGTAGTTTTTGTCCCACGGCCTCGGCCTGAAGAGACAAGAGTCTTTGTCAGGTTGTGATCGGCTAAAAAAAGGTGTTGAGGACATTAATGGAAACCAAAAAAAAGGAGAAAATGAATATGAAATTATAATTATGACATCGTGGTAAATAAGCTCGTCTGCTCCACCCTTGAATACAAAAGCGTTAGTGAAGCGTGCGCAGGCCGCCGGATGAATCCATCTTGCTGTAACTCAGCCAAGATGAATAAGAGCGAATGCTTGTTTGTAGAGCAAGCATTAATTTTTACAAATTAATATTATTGTCTCTTTTTGAAAGGTTATTCTTTTGTTTGTTTAGTTTATTTAATTTAATTATTTAATATTTTTATCTTATTATATCGTATATAATGTGTATATTTTTATTCTATTTTCTTCCCTGTACATGCTGCTGTGATACCAAATTTTCCCTCTCAATAAAGTATCAATCTATCTAGCATGGTCATATCCAGCGGCCGGTTAATTGATCCCCACTTTGGACCCGAGTGAAACATCCCAACGACTACGGGATGGATAGTTTTTTAATTTCATGGTTCACAGATGATGAATTCTCATGACTTGATCTTTTTAGATATATTATTATATTAAGATAAGAGCAGCTAGTATGGCTGTAGATTGTTAGGAGACGATCAAAAACACTGACGTAAAGTGGAAATCTTTGTTTCAAGCATTTCAAAAGGGGCCCACAGCTGAATGCTCAGTGAGTGTCATGGGAAAGACGTACGGGGAGCAAGTGAAAACCAAACAAATCTAAGAAGGCACCAGGAGGATCTGCCGGGTAGATTTAATCCGGGGTCATCAGCAGTATTTATGTTGAGGACCTGCAGGGTCGGACCAGGCGGCGCTTTGGGAATCCGCACAGTTTAAAAACACATCTGGAACGTGGCGAGTGACCGAGCGGGACAATTACAGCGAGTCGCAGAGATCAAGTGTCAATGACACAAAGTCACCAATGCCTTTCACAGCCGAGGGCAGCCGGAAACCTTCTAGCACTGCTTTCTTCCTGTCGAGTGAGATGTGGAGAAATCTGCACCAACAAATCACAGCTCCACCCGGTGCGGGTGGATGTCAAACTAATAACCACACACTTGAAGCTCTCCACCGGCTCACTGAATGTGTGGTAATTATCCCTCAGAAGGACATTTATAATGATCAGTTATCAGAATTAACTGAAACTGAACGGCTTCAACCGTGCTTTGTATTATCGACGTCCTGCAGTCATTTTCGACACTTGACATCCAGCAAGCTCTTTTAATCTTACGGGTGGACGGACAAATGTGTGCATGAGAAAGAAGAGCGAAAGTACATTTATTAATCTAGGAATTTGAAACCTGTGATACTTTGCGTGACATGAAATAAATATGAGCAAAGCAGTTGCGCAGCTTGGGGTAATTTAAGCAATACTTGCACAGCACCATGACAAGGACAAAGGCACACGAGCAACTAACACAGCCGTGTGCGTAGAACTACACGCGCACACACGCCGCAAAGCTGTGTCAACTGAGGACGCAATGGTGATGTTTATCTTGAGGCTACTTTGTGTCTCTGCTTAGAATCTCAAGTCCACACACACACACACACCTAATCATTACACATTTTAGGGAGTGAATCGTGACATTACTGAAGCAGGCTAGTGAGTAATATTAAGGATAAGTAGGATGATAAGAAATGAGGTCACCAGAAGTCTGTATAATTATAACGGTGAAGTGAGCGAGGTCTCTACGTGGTAGAGTTCATCGTGTAGCATTTAGTGCGGATGCTTTTACAACAGAAGGAACTAAACATTTCTCTAAAGCAGGATGACAAATTATTACTGTTCATATTTTAAGAAGATTGTAAACAGCGTCATGCTTATATAATCACACATCCTTGGTATCAGATAGTCAATGTTGCTTTGTGTCTTTTTTGTGCACAAGCGGTTTACATTGTTGTTGTATCGCATAATGAAACCAAATATAAATAAATGAAATATGATAGACGAACGGATCAGAATATTGCGAGATGTATATTTACTGGTTTCTGGTCAGGAAAGCGGGGAGAGAATAGCTCACAGGCAGCGGGTCCCCCAGCTGGGAACCAAGCGTGGACCGTGTGCTTCTATGGTGTCCAACACGACCCCTAAGATACCCAGAAGGATTCTGACCACACCTTTTATCAACTGTAGCCTGATACTAATAATATAACCTACGCGTGTCGCCCCACACACCGCACTAACTGGAGCGTTCGTCATGATTGAACCAGTCAGCTGTTGTTCTTTTAAATGAATTCAGAGGAGCAGTTTGTTCAGCCGGCTGTCAGAGGAACGCTACAAATACTGACGCGTTCTCCCCATTTCTACTTAAGCAACTCTCGCTGAAGTGAGTGGAAGTGAGGCGCAACCGGTTCCCTTTGCGTGATTGGATGATACGCACCCATCCAGGGGAGCTGTCGCTTTGCTATTGTTGCTACGACGTCTCATGTACATCCCGTCGCAGGAGCTAATCTGAGCCGGCACTGGTCTCCTGGCAGTATGAAACGGCTTTGCAAAGAATGTCCTCGTCGTCCCTGACTGAGTAGCGAGCGCTGGTATTAAAGAGTCACGAGTTGCCGTGTTTGAAACACTGACGTTTTAAAGATTCCACACTTTCACACGTCTTCCTGAACCGAGCGGCTGCCAGGGCCTCCGTGGGAGGAATGACGCAGCGCAGGGAAATGAACGAGGCGAGGCGAGAAGGGGGAGGGGGGGGCAGGTGGTGGAGGACTAGGACACATTGAGTGAGTTATAATGGAGTCAGCAGATTCTACCCCGGTCACAACAATGTTTACTGGAACTACTATTTTTATCAATACAATAATTCCTAATGTTAGAACGCCTCACACCAGGTAAACAGCAGAAAATGACATTTGAAGACGTGAGACGCGAGCGTTGACTGTCCCTCGTTGCAAGTCACCTCGGATAGAAGCATCAGCTAAATGAAAAATAAAACTGTCAAAGAAAAGGAAAAAAAAAAAGCAGCAAAAGTCATCTCCACTCACAGGATTGACCCCTGAGGCCAAAGCTGCAGCAGCTGTTGGAGTCGCCCCCACTCCTCCACCCGAGTCCAATCCGGACAGCACGCTCACAATCGACAGCAGAGACTCTGTACGCAGGGGGAGAGATGACGGATGACTGCGAGCGCACAACAACAACAACAACAACAACACCGTGAGATGAAATGAGCAGCAGGAGAATTCATCTTCAGCGCCACCCACTACCAACATTCATCTGTGATTTTGTAGAAAAACATACTTGTGTATTTATATCTATATTACTATATTATCAAATAGATCTAAAGTTAAGGACGAGACACTTTTATTTGAACTAAAACTAAATAGCTCATTCACTTATTGTATTCATAACATAGGACACTACTGTATTGTCAAATTGCAATTAAACCTAAAAGATCTGATTTATCAATTCAGATTCAGATAATGATTATATCAGCATTTTTCTACTGGTGCCTTTGATAGAGATCAGATGGGAGGAAGCCTACATTTGTTTGTAAATGCGGTTCATCTTCTTCAAATTTCATCATCCCACAGATAACTATCATTAAACCGCCACAACTGCAGGAATGAACGCAAGGATAGATATATCTTTTGCTCCCTTAGCACCAGCGAATTTTTGATCTCAAGTTAAATTGATCGGCGTAATGTGAAATAGACTTCCAGGGAGACGCTGACGCGTGATAAGAATTTGGATCAGATGCTGAACCAGCTTCAAACTGCACGGATGGTCCTCAGGTCCTCTGGCGTTGAGCAAACAGAACCAGGTCTCAGTTCTTCAAGCGTGACTCATCTACACACTCAAGACATCTTTCGTCTAAACAAACCAACATATCCACCCAGGTGACACGAGCTATGAATCTCCGCACAGGCTCAGCCAACACAAAGAGGACGACATCAGAGACGGGGGGACGGCGGCCGCTAATGACAGGCAGTTAAGGACCAGAGGCAGCAACAAGTCTCTGTAATAAGCTACAAATGAGGAGGCACTACAAAGCCGTGCTAATGAGGCCAGCTAGCGCCCCGCGGGACCGCCACCCTCGCTCAGTTAATGTTAACACCGGCGCCCTTTCCTCGAATGCACATCTGAGAGAGATGGAGGAGGCGGAGGGAATTAATAATCAACATTTGCCGCCCCCTTGTTTGCATGAGACCTTTCGGGAACAACACAAGGCTTGTTTGCAGCCTGACGCCGACATCGCGTTCCTCTCAGCGACGCCGCCTTCCCATCGCGTTCCCCTCAGCGACATCGCGTTCCCCTCAGCGGCATCGCGTTCCCCTCAGCGACGCCGCCTTCCCATCGCGTTCCCCTCGCGTTCCCCTCGCGATCCCCTCGACATGGCGATCCCCTCATCGACGCCGCCATCTCGCCGCGCTCCCCATGCGTACCCCATCGCGTTCCCCTCCGCGTTCCCCTCCGCGTTCCCCTCCGCGTTCCCCTCGACATGGCGTTCCCCATCGCGTTCCCCTCGACATGGCGTTCCCCATCGCGTTCCCCTCGACATGGCGTTCCCCTCGCGTTCCCCTCGACATGGCGTTCCCCTCGACATGGCGTTCCCCTCGCGTTCCCCTCGACATGGCGTTCCCCATCGCGTTCCCCTCGACATGGCGTTCCCCATCGCGTTCCCCTCGACATGGCGTTCCCCATCGCGTTCCCCTCGACATGGCGTTCCCCATCGCGTTCCCCTCGACATGGCGTTCCCCATCGCGTTCCCCTCGACATGGCGTTCCCCATCGCGTTCCCCTCGACATGGCGTTCCCATCGCGTTCCCCTCGACATGGCGTTCCCTCCGTCCCTCGACATGGCGTTCCCCTCGACATGGCGTTCCCCTCGCGTTCCCCTCGACATGGCGTTCCCCTCGACATGGCGTTCCCCATCGCGTTCCCCTCGACATGGCGTTCCCCATCGCGTTCCCCTCGACATGGCGTTCCCCATCGCGTTCCCCTCGACATGGCGTTCCCCATCGCGTTCCCCTCGACATGGCGTTCCCCTCGCGTTCCCCTCGACATGGCGTTCCCCTCGCGTTCCCCTCGACATGGCGTTCCCCTCGCGTTCCCCTCGACATGGCGTTCCCCTCGCGTTCCCCTCGACATGGCGTTCCTCATCGCGTTCCCCTCGACATCCCCATCGCGTTCCCCTCGACATCCCCTCGCGTTCCCCTCGACATCCCCTCGCGTTCCCCTCGACATCCCCTCGCGTTCCCCTCGACATCCCCTCGCGTTCCCCTCGACATCCCTCGCGTTCCCCTCGACATCCCCTCGCGTTCCCCTCGACATCCCCTCGCGTTCCCCTCGACATGGCGTTCCCCATCGCGTTCCCCTCGACATGGCGTTCCCCATCGCGTTCCCCTCGACATGGCGTTCCCCATCGCGTTCCCCTCGACATGGCGTTCCCCATCGCGTTCCCCTCGACATGGCGTTCCCCATCGCGTTCCCCTCGACATGGCGTTCCCCATCGCGTTCCCCTCGACATGGCGTTCCCCTCGCGTTCCCCTCGACATGGCGTTCCCCATCGCGTTCCCCTCGACATGGCGTTCCCCATCGCGTTCCCCTCGACATGGCGTTCCCCATCGCGTTCCCCTCGACATGGCGTTCCCCTCGACATGGCGTTCCCCATCGCGTTCCCCTCGACTTGGCGTTCCCCATCGCGTTCCACTCGACATCCCCTCACGTTCCCCTCGACATCCCCTCGCGTTCCCCTCAGCATCCCCTCGCGTTCCCCTCGACAACCCCTCGCGATCCCCTAAACTTCCCCTCGAGTTCCCCTCGACGTCCCTGCGCGCACCCCTCGACATCGCATCGCGCGACTGTCGGAAACCCCTCGGGTTCCCCTCGACATCCCCTCGCGTTCCCCTCGACATGGCGTTCCCCATCGCGTTCCCCTCGACATGGCGTTCCCCATCGCGTTCCCATCGACATCGCGTTCCCATCGACATCGCGTTCCCATCGACATCGCGTTCCCATCGACATCGCGTTCCCATCGACATCGCGTTCCCATCGACATCGCGTTCCCCTCGCGTTCCCCTCGCGTTCCCGTTTTCAGCTTCCACCCAATTAAAACTACTTCGGCCTTTAATTACACAAAAGTCCCAGATGAATATAAACATTTTACAAAGGTGGCGCGCTAGAGAAGATGGGTACAAGAGGTCTTTTTTGTTTTTCACTAAAGATGAGTTACTTCAGACGATCAGGGAATCAACCAACGCAGTAACAAAGAGAATACTGAGGAACGGCTTTGATCGTTTTCTGCAATCTGCATGAGCCAGAGTGTGCAGGCAGACAGGGAGACAGGGAGCGAGCCATCTCAGAGACCAAGACATCCCCTCCTCTACTGTATGGTCCTCATGCCTCAAGAGCGTGTGAGTGCACATGCATGTGTGAGGGTGCACAGTATGGGAACACATGTGCTCTTGTAGGCTGTATGTGAGCGTGTAACCTTGTACGCTCTTCGGCTTGGTGGCATCAGTGAAATCACAGATTTTGTCCCACTGGTCCCGGACAGCCTCGGGAGTCATGGGTTGGTTTTTCTGTCTCACAATGCTGCCCTGAGAACGCTCCCAGCGCACTGCGCACACACACACACACGCAAACACGCACACAAATAAAGAGGTCAGTGCGCGGAGAAAAGAATAGAAATCACACAGATACAGTGGATGGAGAACCAGGGGCCAATGAATGTAGATGCATAGAGACATTCCCTGGGGAGAAATCCACACAATACTCACATTTACCAATCCAGCCAGCACCGGCCTGAAAGGAGATGAAACATATTTAGAAATATGTATGTATATATATATTCTCCAGTCTTTTAATGGAGAATGAACTGGTGAATGTTACATTACTGGGCTCAGCGATAGAATAGATACAAAGCTAAATTAAATTACAGTGGGAGTGAGATCTTACTGTATTCAAGAGAAAGAAAAGGTTCTTGCATACCTCAAAAAGTGCACCATTTTCTTGGCATTGTTCGTGACAGAGCCAGAGGACCATGGGAGCAATGTACTCCGGCTTCAGAGACGCCACAAGTTCTGAATAAAGAAAGAACAAAAGCAGCGCAGCACAGCTGCTTTTTATTGTGTATTTGTTGTACAATAGTCCTAAACGATGGATTGCTGCTTGTGTCTTCATTTCGTAGTGTATTGTTTAAATACTACAATGTATATGGTCTGAGTTAATGGACAAACCTCAGCAGTTTGTCCTCTTTCTGCACAGCGTAGCTGAATTATAAGTTGTTTATTTGTACACATTTCACCCAAAAGGAACAATGGAAGGGGGCAAATACGATCATTTATAAAAAGCCATTTATTAATTGTCATAACACAGTACAAATTGTACCCAACCACTCCGTGTAATATTCTGCTGGACAAATCATGCACTGATGAGCAGAAAAAACAACACGGGAATGTTTTCAATCTGTTTAAAGGGATCTCTATTTTAATAAGTAAAATGTGTCCTCAACGTGAGGTCAAGTAACCGTTAAAAGCTTTAATACAAGGCACCATATGCGCGCCGAAAATATCCCCACCCTTCAACAGCCAAAGCGCGGCACAGGCATTCTGTTCCCTCCTCTGTTCTCGGCTCCCTGCAATGTTTACCAAGATTGTGTTTTGTTTTTTGTTTTTTAGAAAGGCCTGAGTCAGTGAAAGCAGACATATGGAACCACGTCATTTACAAAGGTGAGGCCATCCCGGGACCGTTGGCACGGTGCAGTGTGACAGATGCTACTGTAGACCTGCACAGCAGGGCAGCAAAGCCATTCCTCTAATTTGTCACTTAATCCTCCCGTCAACAGAGCTGCAGGCGCAGAGCCGTCACAATGTGCTGGTGATGTGTAACCATCTACAGACACTGGCTTTGGTTGGTTAGAAAAACATGCACCTTCTTTATGGGCTCGCTGGAGCCTCTGAAAGACACAGCTGAGTGTGCTAAAAACATTCGCTTGACATTTTGAAGGCTGTTTTTTGCTTGAAATGATGTTCCCTCTGAGCATCATTTCAAGCAAAAAGGGGAAGAGCTTTTCGGTTGTGTTCACTGTGAATATCGGAAGCTGCATCACCTTTTGTCTTAGGAATCACTTGAACGCGACAAATAGAAATGTTTCATTCGCTTACTTACTCCAACACCTACAGTAAAACAATTAGGTCACAGCTGCCTTTTTGAATCTGATCTTGCTGACGCATTTAAACTTTTAAAGCACTTACAGGGCGCGTGATTTCATCACAGTTAAAATCCACAGTTCTTTAGATTACATCAGATTCCACTTTAATATTAGATGACAAATTTGCATGTCAAACGAGAGTGCTGTTGCCTTAAGTTTTTGTAAATCAACATCCCACAGGAAATACAGCCGTTCCCTTAAAATGAAAAAAAAATTGCTGCGGTCCATTTGCCCATTTTAGCGTCGAGGCGAGAAAACTTGTACTCAGCAGCGCACCGCAGCATGCATTATACATCACGCACCGATGCGTGTGGTCTAATCTCTCTGCTCACCTGGCGTCATGACGGTCTCTGTGAGGCGGGACCCGGCGACGGGGGCGATGGTGTTGCAACGGATGTTGTATCGGAGTCCCTCGATGGCCAAGGTGTTTGCCAGCCCCAGCAGGCCCAGCTTGGCGGCGCTGTAGTTGGCCTGCCCGAAGTTACCGTAGATGCCAGCGGCTGAAGTCGTCATGATGATTCTGTCCACGGAAAACAGTCAGTAACAAGCTTTGCTAAGTGGTGCAAGCTTTTCATGCATGCATATACACACACACACACACACACACGGGAGTGTAGGCATTAGTTTGTGTCATGTTTGGCCATTCATTACACACAGAACACTCTTGATTGCATAATTGCGAACACAGATAAAGAACTGTGCACAAAATCACCTTGATTATTTTACATGAAAGAAATAAGACCGGCCCAGTTACTTTAAAACTTATTTTGCAGCAGAGTCAAATTGTTTACAGGATTCATCTGGGTTTATTTAAAATATTTGAAATGCCTTACTTTAATTTAATTTTGTATTTGCTAAAGGCTATCCCACAGTCGATTAATACGAGGTACGAGTTTGCAGACAACGACGACCCCTCCTCGTCTTTGTGGAGTTTATGGCATTTTGCCGCTTCCACCTACAGACGATGACACAGATCTGGGTTACTCTCACTGTCTTTCCCTTTGCTTTGTCCGCCGTGTAGCCTTCTTAAAGTAATATTTTCTACTGGCCGAAGTCTATGCTTAAATTACTCTGATAAATACACATATGAGACGTTTTACAGAGACGAAGAGCAACAGCAAACATACAAAGTGCCCTTTGTGCTTTGGGGAGCTGATAGGAAGTAGAGTTGTGTCCGTGTGCCTCTGCATGCTCATTCACAGCCATGGCCTCATTCTGTGTGACTTATGCCACCAACCATTCTGCTTTGGTGTTACCTTTAAATATACAAATAGCTTTTTCTTAGGTTGACCGCACACACTGATTGAGTTTCTAACCCATAGGACATTAGAAGAAAAATACACACAATTCTGACAGTAACACGATTATTGGAGTTTTTTTAATTTATTTTTAAATCACAACCGCGATACAAAACCAACTGCACTACTTGCAACCGTTTTCTACTCCACTTGATAACAAGCTGCTTCTGGGCTCAACGCAGGGAAGCTTTCTGCAAAATATCACTTCGATGTTCAATGAACTACAGGCTTCTCCCATTCAAAGAGAACACGGGGAGGACATCTGCTCCGTGGAGCTACATGGGACCACAGCTGGTTATGAGACTCTCTCTGCTCATTTCAATCCGAAACACGCAAACCTCAGTCGGCCTTTTTCAGAGCACACGTCTTCGACTGTCGTGGCAGGAAAAGCACGGGTTTGTGCCCCCAGGCAGGTCAAAATATCTTCCACCTTCCACAAGCGACTGATCATGGCTCCAAAACATGATCAATACACATGCATAAAATACCCGTTTAAATGATCAACTGAATGAGTCATTGAATTCAAGAAGATACTCCAGAGGTGAAGAAACACATCGAACTCTTCAGACTACTAGATTTTTTTAAACTGCCACCACTTGGAAGAGTTCATCATTATGATGATGAGTCTGCACAGACATTATTGCAGCCAAGTAAGGAGTTATTATTTAAATTGTACTCAGATTGATCAGAGATTATCCTGCAGTGCTGCAAAACCATATTAAGTAATTCCCTTGCTTCTTCGGTGATTTACATATTCATCTCAGATTTGCTGTCTGGGGCTTTTATAACTATGCAGATTATTTCCTTGCACACCTTGAAACTAATGGAGCGAGACATATTAACGGGTATCAAGGGACTAAAGTCGGAGGCAGAATATGTCTATAAGAATATGACGGGAGACGTGCTTTATAATGCTTATTACCCCAGGAGCACGAGCTCAAGAGCCCACTTAAAATGGGGCACATAAAAAATGTTTTGGGTACTTTAGCTGATGTCTGAATCAGTTCTTACCAAAAACAGTATTTTGTGATATGCTGACATCCTCTTGATTAATGGCTAGCAGGCCTAATGTCTCAGCTGAGCATACTGTGCGTTTTTGGGGGAAATAAATCCCACCTACGTCACAGGAAGGTGGCACAACTGTCATAGATCTTAAGTAGCTGCTTACCTGCCGAATGCTTGGTTCTTCATGTGGTTCCAGGCAGCTCGAGTCACAGAGAAGGATCCTCTCAAGTGAACTCGATGAATCAGGTCTGATATTGAGTGTGATGAGACAGAGATGGATAACACATAACATTATGCACTACTATTATTTCCCATTGGAACATTGTGGAACAGATCCAGGATACAGTGGATGTTAAAACTCCCACATAGAATCTTTGTATAGACATGACGGACATAAAAAAAACAAGCCTAAGTTCAAACAAACGTTTGCTTTTTTCATGATTTTTGATTATGAAACAAGCTAAACAAATGCATGTGATGTAATTATTTGAGTGGACCCTGTGCACAGTATGAATTATTGACATTGAAGTGAATGTAAAGATGTAAGTACATATACATGAAAATGTAAGATTATGAATAATATATTCACCCCAGTCCAAATCACTCGTCCTGGCAAATGAACGGTCACGAAGAATCCTTGGCAAAGAAAAGCAGGAGACGGTTTTACTTTTTCTCATTAACATGCTTATAGTAGCTTACAATCTAATAGCCACTGCGGAAGCAGATGGGATGTGACCTTGCACAAAGTGTGAATTTTGCAGACTTACCCCGCATTGTTTACAACAATATCTGGAAGTAAAGACATTTTAGTTATGAACTCAAAATGCAGCAATAACATCACAAGCAATCTTTTAATGTAGCTTATTGATTAGCGACTTGGGATAAGAATCCATGCAAAGACAATTCTTACCTATTCTTCCAAAGGCATCTAGTGCTGATTGGATCACTTTTTCTCCATCTTCTACAGAATCTGTATGTGCAGGATAAAAAAGGCCATTAAGTTTGGTTTACAGATAGAAATTGGGTGTGCAGAGTATCACGACAATGTATGTTATGTATGTTGAGAAATTATACGAGATGAGTCATTGTTTCGAAAATGTTACAATGTTATTTTTTTCTGGGGAATCATGAATCTGATAAAAGTTGTGCCGACCTTTGTATTACATTCACATATAAATCTTCCATTTACCAAGCTGCCTATAAAGTGCATTAATCAAGCTGCCATTTACCAAGCTGCCTATATGCATTAATCAAAGTGTTGTGTTGTTCTGTTGGAAAAGAGACAAGAAGATTTAGAGTCCAAACTTCTCACCATAGTTGGCCACGGCCTTTCCTCCCTTTGCTCTTATCTCCTCCACCACCTTATCAGCAGCTGCAGAACTCTTTCCGCCCCCTTTAGTGTCTGCCCCGAGGTCATTCACTTTATTCCAACGAGAAGAAAAAAACACAGGCAATAATCGGGGGAGTTATGCAATTGTGCAAGAGTGATTAGTTTATGAGCAGAGGTTAGCTAAGCTGATTTCTTGTCAGAGATAAAGGGGGATTCTGTCCAGGCATCTGGGAAAGCTGTTATTTTGGGGAGCACAACACCTGCAACTCTGACTGCGTCTAAAAAGTATGAATAGTTTTGTGATGGTCAATGTAGTTTCTAATTTCTTTATGACGTGGCCTGTTTTGTGCAAGAGACAGAATCTTCAAGTTCATGAAGTACAGATTAAAAATCACTGCAGCAGCTGTTCTGTAGTCTGTATGTAGTCAGCAGCAAATGCTACAGGAAAGTGAAAAAATATTTTTTAAGTAGCTTGTAAATAAGAACGATGTAAAGGATATTTAATGAATGAAGGATGAAACTGATCTACAGTCCTTAAAAAAAAATCCCAGAAAACATCTCAAATCTTGCTGAGCAAAATGTCAACATGCAACGCTGAAAAGGCTCTCCGTTGTTAACCAGTGGCAAAGAACATCTAAAGAGGTCATGAGGGTTTTCTTCTGGAAAGGAAATACCTTTTCCAAACAAAAATGCAGGGTAGCGACCAGAGGGTTGCTCATTTAAGTCCCCAAATGGGACCAGAGCAGAGTGTGAAGTGGGAGCTGGAGATGTGAGCAAGGCACCAGCCCCACAAACTGCATCGGGCCTGTCTAACACCTGGACACTGGTCCTTGTGCCACAAGGGGTTGAGTGCAGAGGCTAAATGTGCTTGTGTGTTCTGCTTTGTACCTGTATATAAAAAAAAGCGCGTTTCGATTCTGCATTTGAACCAAAATAATGAGCTTAAAATAAAGTGTTTTTTGTTTACCTACAACTGAGGCTCCTCTTTCAGCAAAAGCCAGAGCATATTCCCTGCCAAGGCCTGTGAAAACAAAGTCAGCTGGGTTAAACTCTTCGTCATACTTCATCAGAGTAAAGAAACACACTGCTGCGGTGCTGTTGTGTGTAAGTAACCTTTCACACACTTTGCACTGGCGTGATGGCAGGATCTCTATTAGCGACCCGTGCCCTTTGCTCCTAAGATCGGGCGGACGCGCACGATTCTAATCAAAACATTAAGGTCAAGTCAGGCGTTGAAATACGCGTTATTTGTGGTACTTTGGTCTAAAAGATCGTTTCTTTCACCGGTGACGGCATGTGACGTTAGCGAGTTGACGCAACGAATGTAACTTCTGGGCAGCTAACAGATGAAAGAAAAGCAAGCGCCGTGCGTGGACTCTTAATAGTTTGACGCACTTCACGTTACTTAATCGATGCAAGTAGCGGGTTAGCTTTCGGAGCTACAGTTAGCAGCGGGCTCGCTAACGTTGAGTTAACGTTACGTGCGAACGGGACATGTACCTCCTCCGGAGCCGGTGACAAGCGCAACTCTTCCCTCGAAAGACAAAGACATCCCTCTGAATATCAGGGCCCGTTTGACAGCACTTAGTGAGCAGCGGTTACAAGAGCAACGCTGACTGTCAGAGACAGCAGGGTGAACTTTGACAACTTCCACTTCCGCAGTTAAAGGGGGCGGGCTTAGCGCGGACCAATCAGGAACCAGGAGCTTATCACCTCCTTCTCACCATGATTAATTTAACACACGCAGTCTACTTTGATTCTTTGAATACTCGTGAAAAAAGTTCATTTATGCAAACTTTGTAAATATCATGATCTGTGATCAACTTATTCTGTACTAAACTATTTTGTAACCAATTTTGTATTCTAGCACTTTTCAACATACCCGCATTCTAATTAGGAAATAATTGTGACGATGACCACAATGACAAGTATGTCGGAGCGGTTAGTGCTGCTCATGATGGCCCATGTAGTTACCTAGCAATGACAAAATAAACCATATCTTTTGTTTTCGTGAAAATTTTGTGAAATATCTTTGAAAACTCTCCTTTTCTTACAGAGGTTCTCAAGCTTGATGATTTACATCACTGACAATGAGTATCTAATGTAATCCACACAAAATACATGACACAGTAATCTAGATGTTAAAAAGAGCAAAATTATTTAATAGGAAAGCTATCAAAAATATTTTAACTCATAATAACAAAAAAGAGGGTTCATATTTTAAAGACTATTTGTTGGTAGTTTGTTTTTTGTTCGTGCTTATGCTGTGTGTACGTGTGTTTGTCAACTTTACTTCAACTGTCTTTTCTTAATTCTATATTTGTGTCGCCTTTATTCATTAGATGTAATAAAGCATGATCTGCCCCGTGGGCGCACACACACACACACACACTCCTTCGATGGAGTGGCACATGTTGCGGTGGCAGTCATCCGTGGTTATTGACGCGTCCGTGCCGTCCAAGTGGTCGTCGGCGTGGCCTCAGATTGGATAGAGACCATCGGCCGCCGCCAATAGCGAGCGCGTGGGAGAGCGAGCGTGCGGCGGAGGGACTGGAGGGAGACGCGCTGTCCGCGGAGCCTGCGATGGAGACCGCACGCGACTGCCGGGCTGTTCCTTCGGGGAGGAAAGTGCCTCCTCCTCCTCCTCCTCCGCGGTGTTTTCACCTGCCGGGGTGACGGTTCGGATTACGACAACTGTGTCTACCATCAGTCTCTCTCGCGCCGGTGCTTCTCTCCAACCCGCACGCGGCTTCTCGCAGGATGCTGGATGCGGCGCGCTCTCTCTCTCCGTGGAGGAGGTTTCGCGGCGCGTCGTCGTGTTGTTCGGACGTGGAGATGCGCGGCGCGAGACCTGTGGACGCTGTGATACAACATTATGACACGAGCGTTACCGTTTCAGTGTTGTGAAACGCTCTACTGCGCATGCCCAGTGGTGGATACAGACCGCTGCCCGACGCCACTCGGCTCCGTCCTGGCCGTGATGTAGGAGCGAAAAGTGAGCAGGGAGCGGAGGACCGAATTTAAAAGAAAATGCGTCGGCAAAGTGGCGGCGCGGCGGCCAAAGGATTTGACTTTGGATCCTTCGCGGAATAGGTTGTGCCACGAACCGAAGGATGTCAGGCTCGCCCAATGCGGAGGCTGAAGGAGTAGTCTCCAAAGTGAAAGTGAAAAAGGAGATCAAGACAATCGTGGAGAATTTGGAAACCATCCTGGGAGACCTCAAGGATGTAGCCAAAGAGCTCAAGGAGGTAAATAAGCAGGGGGACACCGCGCACCATTCCGCCATGTGTTGTGCCACTCCGACGCGCCTCGAGGATGCTCTCCCTCTCTCAGCGTCCCCGTGTGAGGGGACCCGAGAGGTGGACGCACACCTCGCGGGCCTGGAAAAGGCCACGACGCGCGCGCGCGCGCACACACACACACACACACACACACACACACACACACGCACACGCACACACACGTACACACTCACGAACACATGCAAACGCGCCCCCCTCCCTGTCCTCCCCCACCCACTAATGTGTGTGATCATCGTCTCCATCGCGAGGGACATGTGGCACAGGAGGATGCGGGGTGTGAAGTGACGGGACGGCTGCCCTGACTCACAGGCTTGATCACTATTAATATTTCATATAGGCAAGCCGGTCCAACCAGGAAGGCGCTTTTTGCATTGCGTTTCATCATGCTGACAAATAATGGAGCAGTTGGCTTAAACTTCTCACTTCAGATCGCTCTCAAGCCCTCGTGCTGCCTCTCTCGTTGTTTATCCGCAGCTTCTTTGCAGCCGCTCATCTCTGTCCCGTCTTCATCGCTTGCTGTCTCTCTCTCTCTCTCTCTCTCTCTCTCTCTCTCTCTCTCTCTCTCTCTCTCTCTGTCCCTCTCTCCTTCTCTCCACATAATCCCTGTTAAAGATCAAAACTCTCTGAGCCGTCTGATTGGACATTTAGATATTAGTGGAGCAGAGGCAGGAGGCGGCTCTGAAGGATTCAGGGATTTCAACCTGAAATCCGCAGTGTATGAGGATTCTATAGGGTTCTTATTGGTCTTCTCTTAGATTTTCACCGTCATCTTCAAATTTCATTTGTGTGTTGCTCCGCTTGCTTAAAATCAGTGTTTCAACTCCTGCCGATGACTGCATCCCATGCTGCCAGTAACCTGCCGTCTCACCTGCCGTCATGTTGACACACATTCCTCTACCTGCCTCACAGGCCCGCTGTGTTGAACCTCTCACCCCAACACGAGAGGCTGCCATGCTAATAAAACCCTATGGCGCACAGTGTCTGGTTCCTACATTATGGATGGCTAGTCAGCACAGCATATGTCTCCTTCTGCCTCCCTGCTCCCCTCACTTTGTTTTTATAACTTGAGCTGAATTAGACCTCTTCCGTGGTTTTCGGCGGTTTACAAGGTCGCGCAGCAGGCGCCGGAGACGAATGAGAACAAGACGGCATTGTAAACGCTCTATTGTGATTTTCTTTTTTTCACGTGTTGTTGTGCTCTCTTTTCTTCTTTCTTTCTTCTTTGGCTTGCAGGAGATTGTGTAGAGGGGATCAGTTATACTGACACGGCGGCCCACTAAAGACATACCTCGAGGTGTTACTATCAAAGCCAGCGTTGGGGGGGTCTAATCCTTTTAAAACGCAGTTATCTGCTGTAACTCACGGACGGGGCTGGAGCGAAGCCATGGCTCTGAGGAGGTACCCGGCCCGGATGCTGAGCACGGCCACATAAGCCGCCTGGCCTCCAGCAGGGGCTGCACAGCGGGATACCGGTATTACCTCGTGTGTGTGTCCCAACAAATTATCCCCTTGAAGACTGCGTGAAGAGTTTAGCTCCACTCTCCCCGCCCCGGCCTCGGAATCGCTCTCTTTATCTCCCAGTCACTTTTTCCTCCTTCTCTCGCTCTTCTTTTCTTCACCAATCGCTCTTCATCTCCATCTCAGCCTCCGCCCGGGCCTTTCAAACCCCTCGATGACATCACTGGCGTGTAGCAGCGGGTTACTGTACCCGGGCCTCTCCCTCCGAGATGAGCATAACTAAATCAGAGCACATTGTCGTAATTATTTTATGAATGCTGTAAGGGACAATACGGAAACTGTCTTCTACTCTTGACTCTTGACTGAAGTTAGATGACTTCAGTTCAATTTGTATTGGATGCCGGTCCTTGGCATCAATGTAAAAACAGCTTTACAAAGGGAGGAGAACGAGGAAAAGGCTTTTGAGTAGATGTCAGAAAATGTCTGAGGAACAAGGACATTTTGTACTAAAATATCAGCCCCCGTTCCCCAGTCTATCTATTATGTTTGTTAAGCTGCCTTTTTAAGTGTGTTGCCCTATAATCATTTCTCCTAAGGCAATATTTAGGGTTTGTGAATGGAATTTCAATCCAGGTGTTGTCTTAACTCAGGACATCCGGGAGGGTAAACTTGTCCGGGGATGTGAGCGAGTGCTTGTCTTAAATTAATGAAATGTGATCCGTCGCGAGACCGGAGATAATCACCAGAGCCGCTGGACGCATGCTGAGAACAACGCTGGATGTCACTATTCAGCGCTTACAATCCGTAGTTGGCCGTAGGTTGTTGCACACTGATCGTATGCATATGGTGCATTTTACATTGAATTTAGCTGAGCGCCATGCCTTGAAAGAATGTGTCGCTCAGCGGATGTGTGGATGTCTGTACAGTATCCACCGTGTGAATGTGCTATTTCTTTTCTCAATACGTGCTGCTGCATCCTTGCAACTTTTTACAACATTGCTTGCTGCCTTTACGGGCTCAACAAAAGGAAAAAGTCTTCGTCGACTGTTGTTTAATATTTCCCTGAGCCGGCTGTGAAAACAAATTTCCTCTTGCAGGACAGAGAAAGAACCTTTGGATCTGTAGACCTACTATATACATATACATGTATACATGATCCACACACAGACTTATATCTATTCCTACTGCTCTGAGAGGAGCAGTTCTGACAATATCTCTTTATTAAAACCTTGTTTTTCGGCCCCCCGCCCTCTTTATCACAATGGTCTCCCGTACACAGGTCATCTAAATGCTTCTTCCTCTAGACAATATTGACTGGGCTTTGCCAGAGTGCCTTAAATATGTGTTCTCTTGTATAAAGAGTATTTTCTCCTTCATATTACATGATATCAGGTGTTTAAACATCTCTCCTTGCTTTTGTAAAACAGCTATTTATTTATTTTTCTCGCTGTCAAGGTTGGTTTCTTGGACTGAATTAATGTGAAAATGAATCTTTACTGTGCGGATGCTAAGAAATGTGACACTTAGTAGAAATGGATCTTCCCTGTCAGAGCTTTTTATTCAGTGTGATCGTATTTACTCTCGTTGTTGTATTGGGCTGACCTGCCACATATTACAAACATTTGTGCAGATGTTTTGCCAACAAGAAATTGACAGTCTTATACAGGTAGACAGGTTTATATCGGCCTGCATTACTGCCGGTTATATCCCTGTGTTTGTCTGGGTCCCCTGCACGCTTTTGCTTGGTTTTTATAAATAATTGCTTTTGGGACTTGGCTACAGAGTTGGTCATGTTACTTCATAGCTGCGATGGTGCACGGGATTGTTGTTGCCTGGCATGTCCACGGCGGGTCCCATACAATATTTATGTTCTTCCAAGAACATAAAGTGCATATTGAGGTTTTTAAATGCATTATTTGAAAAGATGAAGACATCGGTGTCATTCCTCACCTCCGCTGTCTCTGTGACATTTCCTCTCCTTGTCACCAGGTGGTTCACGACATCGACACCCTGACTGGTGACCTGCAACTGGAGGAGGACGGACTTACGGACAGCTCCAAGACGGACACGCTCAACTCCAGCTCCAGTTCCACCACCACCACCACCACCACCGCCTCCAGCCTGGAGAAGATGAAACTCTTCCCGGAGGACTTCATCTTCAGACCCCCCGCCCTCGTCGACCCGGTCCATGTCAACCCTCTCGGAGTACTGACGGTGCTGAAGAAACCCCACCCTCCTTTACCGCCGCCCAGACTCACCCCGCCGAGAGCCGAAGACCACAACATCAAGAACCTGCCTCATCCGACGTTCGTGTTATCAGGGAATATATCCAAGGGCGCCGGGTCCCTGATGAGGAATGGTGGCGCTTTTCCAATGAAACCAAACAGGGATTTATTCTCCACTATGCCGTGTTTCATTTCCAGCGACGGCGGGATCCCCGAGTCGGGTCTCGTCCCTACATTACCCCGGCCCATGCCCCTTCTCCGCCACGAAAAGAACAAATGCCCGAAGGCCCGTGGCAGGGAGTCTCGTGAGCGGGAACGCGTCCGCTTCAGCGAGACGGTGCAGTACCACGGCTACTGCCCGGACTGCGACCTGCAGTACGACGTGGACGACACGGAGCTACACCTCCAGGCCGAGCTGAACAACCTGAGGCTCAGCCCGGTGCACTGCTGCTTTTCCTCCTCCCCGCCTCCTTTTCCTCACCAACTGATGTTGGAAAACGGCGGCCTCTCGTCCAGCCACAGTTTCCCGCCGACCGCAAAAACACCTCCACCTTGTGTGCCTCCTCACCCGCCCACCGCCAAGCCCCAGAAAACCATCCTACGCAAATCAACCACCACCACGGTTTGACGCCCAACCCCTCCTCCCCCCCCCGCCCGCCCCAACCTCTTCGGTCTGACTTTGATATTCTTGAGTCATCCATGGCGTTTTCTACTTTATGAGTGCTTTCTACTCCAAATGTACTCTGGATTATCCAAACAGAGAGGGGGATGGATACAGTGAGTAAGGCCCCGCCGAGCGCGCCGAGACGCACACAGAGAGATCAGGCAGAAGCGGTAAGTGTTTGCGCATGTTTTAGTGTGTTTGTCGGGAAGAGAACGTGTGCGCCGACACATGGGTATATTGAGGAGTGTAAACATTTCCTGGCGTGTGCATGGGCACATGTGTGCAAAGCGCGAGATGTCTGCAGGCGGGCGAGCAATTGATGGAAAATGTACAGGGACAAAAGAGGAGGTGGTGTTGGTGCTAACAAGTCTCAAACTCAGGAAGTTGTTTCAGAGAGGGACTCTTAATTAATTCATGTCCTTCTTGATGAAACAAGAAAACCCGCCTCACTCACATTTCCTCCAAAAGATCTCCCCATGCCGCGAAACCTACACATCTACCACTGTTCTTGATGAACAGTGGGGGTTTAGTGAGTTCATCCATCACCACCGCTTGCCTCGACGGGGTGCCGTTTGCTGACGTGTCAGACTGCGGGAGCGAATGACGAGCGAGTGGCGTGGTGGGCTGTGGAGGAGTGAAATGACTAAACTGCCATTTTCATTTTGATCTTCTCATCGCTTTGACGATGCTTCCTAATGAAAAGTCTTGCATATCATCGTTAGGCAGAAGTTCAACAATCTGACCATTTGTGTAGACCTTCCCCGTCACTCGCTGTACGTCTATCAGGCTACAGTACGTGAACGGTAAGCCAATCAGCTCTCAAGCGGAGAGAATCAGGTTTTATTCCCTCAAGGGCATATCAATTAAAAGAAATATTGCCATCGCTGACAATGTGAGTAGTTGTTATCGTCCGCTTTATTAGCTTCTATTAAGCAGCACATTTAATGAGTTTCCAGTGTGTGTGTGTGTGTGTGTGCAAACAACGTGTGCATGTGGTGTATTTAAAAAAAAAAATCCAAAATGGTTCTCAAAATGAAGGTCGGGGAAGCTTTAACTACATCTTTGTGTGTGCAGGTGTTTGTAAAAGCACATGCCAGACTGCAGACTCAGAGAGACAGCATACCCTGGAGTTGGATGAGAATTGTAGCACTTTCCTCCCAGCGATGCCCTTAATTAGCCGGATTAGACTACGGGAGATAACAGCACCGCCTCAGACATCCTTTGTACCAACATCAGCCTCGACAAAAAGCTCTGAACTGCTGCTGCACATTTATTTTATGATGAACAGATAGGGAGAGAGGGACCTAACAAAAGGAAATTGACCAAAGGAAAAGACGGGTAAAGAGGTTGCTTTGGGGGTGTGTGGAGGGGAGAGAGTGTGAGTGGGGTGTAGTTATGTATGATGCTATATTGTGCGCGTTTAGAGGGTGACAATGACAAAATTGGGGTACGAAACGGCACAAATGCACGACCTCGCCAGCCTCTCTAATATAGGAATCAGCGTCCGTATATTAGGGATCAGTGGATATTCAGCCATGAGAGAAACGAGAAAGGGGGAGAGTAGGGGGGATGGGGAGGGGAGGGGGGAGAGGGGGGTGTACTGCGGTGCAGACTGATGCCGCTCTGGCCGTGTAGTGTTTGCAACTATGTGAGAGCTTGTGCAGATGCATGTCAGTCATTAGGACGATTGCTCACGGCAGTTCAGAACATTTACAGTATTTACCTCCTATTAATGAATCTTAATGAGTCTGGCAGCAGCTCTCACACGCACACACCGACACACACACACTGACACACACACACTGACACACACACACTGACACATGCACAATGACACACGCGCTCAGGTTGAGCAGAACAGCGTGCTACATGATGGAGTGCAGCCAGTATCATCAATAAATGCACCTCGTAAGGGCTTTTGTTACCGTAGCACTGCCTTAGCAGCTGATGCACTATTCAGCTGACACAGTGGCCTTGGGATTGTACGATTAAGCAAACACTCCGAAAAAGTCAAGGCTTCCGCACTTATTTGTTTTAGCTGTGAGGCCTTCGGAAAAAGTAAGATACTGTACATAATCCCTAATTTTTGCGCGTATGTCTAGTTAGGTTTTTAGAGGTCTGGTGTCTGTTGAGTTACATTGTCCGTGTACATTTGCTGAACACTCACCACAACACAAAAGGCCTTTGTGAGGAGAACAGGCTGAAACCTTTACAAGGGAGTGCACAAATGTGCCTTTGTGCATTTCTTTACTCTAAGAAATACAGTGTCACCAGTCACGTGTTTCTTTACCAAATTTGCTTTTATTGGACGCTCACTAGTCAAGACGCAGACAGGAAACATGATAAGCAATGGAGGTCCCCAGGTGGACTGAAAGCGCTGTGGACATTTGTCCATCAAGGAACTCCTTAGAACAGAGATGTTGCTTTTAGAAAGGAGCCAGTATTTTCACATAGAGGCAGCTTCACAAGAATTGTGCCCAATTATTCAGAGTTGATTTAAAGCAGGAAGACTATGAATCTTGCCAAATACCAGACTACTGGCCTTCGTTTCTCCGACATATTTCTATAGTCGGAGCTGCAGAGGACACATTTCGGTCTGCACCAACAAGGTATTGCGCTATTCTACTCGGCACTATAAAAACTCATATCCGGTAAAATCCTGCTTTTAATCTTCCCAGTATTCTTAAAAAAAACACGTGCTTGACACGTCGCTTGACCTTAACATTCATTTTACATGAATCATTTCAAACATTTAACAGGCGCCTCATAATTGTGGAGAGGGTGTAGGAAGCGAAACACACTGACGTGAGTACATCGATGACACCCACAGCGGGGAACGGGAGAAACTTATTCTGGCATTTGCGCCGGCTGAGCAGCTCCCCCTTACAAGCGATGGTCCCCTCACGTTTGGATTCATCGCGCACCGCTTAATACGACCCTGTCTAGTAGTCGGACTGTCCTTGTAACACAGCACCTGGTGCTCCTCTGGCCGCGGGTGTGGGAGTTTTCTCTCCGTTTTTGCGATGGCCATCTGAGCTGCAGGCTCGAGGATGAAGTTGTAATGGGCAGGGAGGAGGTGGATCTTCACCGCCTCCATCATGAGTCAGGACTGACTCAAATGCACTGACCTACTCCCTCCAGCTCACCGCTCTAGTTCATAGCCCACCTCTCTCTCCCTCTCTCTCTCTCCCCCTCCCTCTCTCTCTTTCTCCATAGTCGTCTTCTTCTCCCCTTGGATGATGCTCCACTCCCACTCGGCAGCAGCTGTATGCATAATCTCTGTGCGCACATGCATCTCTGTGTATGTGTGGGCTGGGTATCTATTATGAAAACATATCTGACACTTTGTACAGCAAAACACCCTTGGCAGAATTTCCATTTTCAATCAAATGTTCACTGACTTTTTCTTTCCCGATTTGCTGCTGCCTGCATCCTTCACGTTTTACCTTTGAATAGCAAACAGCCGTCTAGGAAGGAGAAACAAATCTACTCCTGCTAGTTACGCATCTGCTGAAAAAACATTGCGTACAGTCACTCCTCCATTCAAAGGCTGGGCTTTTTTTCCCCGATTTCAAACCCCGCGTAACGCCGACGTCACTGGTGTGATCATCAGCTTCCGTGATAAACATAAAATCCCACGAAGCCGAATTGTTGCATTGTTACAGCTTCGGTTTGTAAATGTAATTGTGTTGCTCCGATGTGTTGTCTAGAAGCACATTAGCCATGTGTGTGCGTTTCTCTGATGCTAACTGCATTGTCTTCATTCCCTTTTTCCAACCTGGCAAGTGCGCAGCGTGCAATACACCTCTATAAATGTGTCAGAGCGAGACACGCATTGTGCCAGAGAATATTAATTAGCCGTTGTTTCTGTCTGATTGTAAGTGATGATATTCTGCCAAGAGACGTTTTTCACATCCCCGTTCTGCAGGCACCATTGACTTGGATTTCTGTTTGCCTCAAAATAGACTTTGTTTCCTTACGACCATTGAAAATAAAACGTTGAGGAAAAACATGAAACAAAATAGGAGCCAGATAAGCGTAGTTGTGCGTGTATTTCATGCACGGTGGGGTTACTACATGCAAAGTTTGTTTGAATACAAAACAGACGTGACCTACATTGCTGAACATCGGAGCAATGAAAAGTAAATCTGGTGCACACTGGAGACAGATACTGGCTCGTTTTGATGCTTCTTTATCTGTGACTCAGACGAAGTCATGACGTTGGAAAGTGAGTGGGCACGTGTTTGTGTGTGCACACTCATGTACATATGTTGTTATGCTAAAGACATTCTTGTGCTTGTGCACGAGAGTGCAAAAAGGCATTTGAGAAATAGTTTCAGTACAACCTAGAAAGATTTGCAGTTGAAGCAAACTTAATGTGAGGATTTCACGCCGCTTTGGAGATTGTCAAAAGTTGGAGGCATCAGCTGCACCTCACCAGGGGAAGGTACACAGTGGCTTAACAACAGGATCGAATTTGCAAGAGCAACAGTGATGCAGATGGTGTCCTCTGCTCATTGAACCAGTTAAGACTTGACTAAGGGACACTGAAAAAAATAGCAGCTATTTAAAGGAGAGACACGTGCTGTGGCCATTCTTTGTTCTTTTCCCAAAAGGGAAGGCTTCTCCATCCAAAGCGAGATGTTTCAGTCTTATTAACTTCGATTTCTGATATATGTGTGTGTGTATGTGTGTGTGTGTGTGTGTCTGGGTGCTCTATTCTTTTTCTGTGTGTAAAGTGACACTGTTGTGTCAAGTGTCTCTCCTTTGTGCAGGCAGATATTCACACTAATGTGTTTCCTCTTTTGTCTCTGCAGGGCCCATCGAGATGCTTGAGATACGAGTGGAAGCTTGTTCCACTCACCAATCGACCCTGACCGATCAGACCAGGACCGAGACCAAGCATCAACCTTTTTTTTTTACACATATATTTTAATGGCTTCACCAGAAGACCATCCGATTCATACTTTGACTTTTGAGCACTGAACAACTTCCGGGCTCAGTTGTGCCAGTGCACCGCCACCGTAGTGAACCTGGGGAATAGAAAGTGGTCACGGATTGGTGAATTTAGAGCTGTGGAGGTGATATTTTTGTAACATAAAAAATAGTTGCATTTAATATTAGAAAGCTGCTGAAGCCCTATCATCAAAAGTAAGTGGCCAGTTTAGATGAGGAGGTACACAATGGGGTCAAATGATGTCAGCCAGTATTTGATTGATGTCTACACAGGCTTGTATTCTGTGCATTCTCAGATGGAAATCAATAGCTCCACTCATCCGATGGAATTTGCCTTTTAGGAATTGTAATTGTTTGTGTCTGCAGAGCCCGACAGGGCAAAGCGCGGCTGGACTGCAGATAAAGAGACGCTGATATCATGTCAGCAGGTGCCAGTGCTCAATCGTGGTGTATTCATGGAACGGATTGAAATGAAAGACGATGTGGTCGCTGATCTGTGTCCAGACATTATGTTAAATTGTACATCGCAATCTACTGTATGTCCTCAACTCCTGCCATGCAGCCTATGTTTATTTTTCACAATAACGTGCAGAAAGACAGTATAGTGCCATAGTTACAGCTTTAAAGGATTGTTGAAGTAATAATTTGCATCAAATTTTCTTTATGTACAAATATACATGAACATGTTTGATATCTCTCACTCTATTTCTCTCTCTTTCACTTTCTCTCTCTCTCTCTACATATATATATATATATATATATATTTCAGGCATTTTTCTACAGAGACTTTAACATTTAATGAGATGATATTTTTGATATTGTGTTGGATGAATGAGAGGTAATTTGACAAAAGATGACATTCCCTCAGGGAACGTGGTTTTCACCAGGGCCGAGCACGATGATTTATTTATACATAGCAACAGGATGGAGTTTGAATGGATGAAAAACAAGTGCTTCGGTGATCATCCTTGAAGGAACGTTACAGAATGGGCTGCGTTGTGGGGGGGAAATGTAAGGCAAGGAAGACGAGTGGCGTAAACCAAATACCTAGTTGTGCTTTATCCCACGGGAGGCATGGGGCTGAATGAACGCACGAGTGAGTGACTCTTTGTCCTGCCATCACTGTGTTTTTCTATGCATTTGTGAGGAGAGGCGGTCTGTCGTTGGGTCCGACGTGCAGGTTGCTCCGCTGCCCATCATACAGAGTTATGTTGCGCTCCCTCTCATTTCCTCATGAAGTGGTTATTCTTGCAGCTACTATAAACCTAACAAATGTCCCGTTAGTCACGCTGCTTAGGACCGTTATTAATTGTTAATTATTAATGGCAGTATAAAGGTTTATTCATATAGCACAAAAACAGAAATTATAAAGTGCTTCTTAAGAACAAATTTTAAAAAGGAAATTAAATAATAGTGAACAACACATTTTACCATTGTGGATCAATACATATATGGGAAGTGTACGCAAATGCACAGCCTGTCTCCGTATGCTGACTGGGGGACCCACACTTGTTGACTCCACCTCTTTGTTCGCACTGGACACAAAGACTGAATTCATGACCAAACTTCCCTCAGACAAACGATTTGACGATCGAAAGTTTTCCAAAAGCTGTCGGTGATATTTAGTTGTGTGTGTCCACAGATTGTTGGAAAATGAGTAAACACTTTACACATAATGTTGGTGAGTCTGTGTGTTTACTGTGGACTGAACAATAACTTTAAGTGCAGAAAGGTTTGATTGTATGTCTGTGTAGCCTAGTGGGTAAATGATGTGTACCAGTAAAGCCTTCAGAGGGCGCTGTGCTCCTGAGACAGCGCAGTGTGCCGAGGAAAACAGGAAGTGAGTTTTTTTTTAACATGACTGACCTGTGGAGCTGTAGATTTTTTCCGAGTTACCACTACAGTTTACTTAGGTTGTGACATGTTTTAAAGGGATAATTGTTTTAAATGTACAATAAAATGTTTTTTTATGTCAAATTATAAAATTGAACATAACCAAATTTCTTTAATACTGCTCTCTCCTCTAAGAGTAGTCGGTGTCATTCAATTTTACCCGACTACATCTGTGTTATTTATTATAAGCTATACCTTTGGCATATTAATCTATTAGAGGGATTGAATTCAAAAGGCTGCGAGAGCATCGCACTAAACGTAACCAAGAACCTGTGTGAACAAAACAGTTCAGAAAGAGAAAAACATGTAACGTCCCCAGCAGCTGCATCGGTTAATTGAAGATCAGTGTGACGAGATTGCAGCGCTAAAGGCCATCGGTCGTCTCCAGAAGATATTCTAATGAATTGTTAGCGGCTTGTCGTGGACATGCACGGTGCTACGTGGGTCAAAGCCTGCAGCTGAAAACAGTTGAAAAGAACGGGGTTCACAGAAACTGAGACGGGAACTCGCTGCCTCGGTACCTTCAAGCAAAGCGGCCAACCAGTAACGTGGTAGAGGTGGACTGTGGTTGCAAGAGGCAGCTATTTCTATTATTGTGGTTGGAAAACAAGTCATTTCTATTTTTTTAAAAGCACTTTACCATAGGAGGCTATATCAATGCCTTTATTTAATGGAAGTGGTATAAATGTCAGCATTACTGGCTAAAGTGTATATTTGTAATATGATGAATGTCTTAGGGATTTACTAAAAATATTCTGTATGAACTATAATGATGGATTATGAGTCAAACATTCTTGTTGATGCCTAACGGGAAGAGCGGTGACAACTCAACAAAACTGCAACTAGTGTAACTTCCTGTTTTATTCTTTTGACCACACAGCTCTCCCTCAAGAGCCACTCGACTTCCTGTCGTTGTTTAGTTTCCCGCCTCCCCCCCCAACACCAATTCAGTTAACCATCACCCCACCTATACTTAAGCCCCAATCAGTCACTCCAGGCTATAAATTGATTCAACCTTTCTGTTCATCAAGCCAGCAGTGTTCACAGGTTTGTATTTTAGTGTTCCTGTTTTTGTTGCGAGGCCTTTTGTTTTCTCCTTCTCCAGCGTGCCAATTCTGCTTCCGCTTGTGCCTGTGCTGCTTTTCAGTTGTTTTGTCAAGTCAGTTTTTTGCCAGTAAAGATCCTAAACCTGGAAAGAAGCATTTTTGGTTGTTGTTTCCCTCCTCTGCGCCTGAGTCTCTGTCCTGGTCCCTCACACGGGGTGATCTTTAGGACTGGGCACGCTAACATGCTATGAGTATGTTAACGTAGCAATCCATTAACTTCGACAATGATTTCATCATGCGTTAACAGCCTTCGCTCTCTGTCCGATGGTGAAAGCAAGCATGTGTTCGCCGGCGGACAGCGAGCGCGCCCCGCCTGTGTAATGGTAGGGGAAGCACTGCACTCACACAGCATCGACGCCAACTAGCAACTCAAACAACCAGTTTAGCGGGACTTCCGCAGACTACTAATGATGTGTTAAAAGTTAATTTTGTCATTGTGTAACTGCTCAACCGGCATTGCTGAGGGTGTTTCTTTCTTTCTTTGACCGAGATTCTACAAAGAATTCCACTGAGTAAAAAGTCCCCTGCACTGTAAATCGTATTTGGGTACTTTATTTTGTGCTAGACCACTTAACAGTTTGTGCTTCTCTCTGATAGAAGTACCGCAAAGAAAAGTACTGTATGTTAACTTGCCGTTTCACCGAGAGTGCCTTCTATATTGTTTTCATTGTTTGTTTGTTTTCATTTCAATTTTTCGCATAACACGATTAATCGCTGTCAGAAAAATCATACAATTAATCGATTACATTTTTTCATCTTTGCCCAGCACTATTTATCTAAAATCCTGCCACAGCAGAAGCACACAACACTCATCTACTAAAATATTATACAAAATATAACTGCATATTATGAATATAGGAAACCTGGCTTCTGACTATTAATCCAAACTGCATTAGTCAGTGTGTTTTTTATTACTGTACCCTAGGTTTGTACCGTAGTGGCATCATTAAGAGAAAGATGTATTAGTCCCTACTCAATATTAGAGACTTGTGTGCTGCCCTGAAGGGTTTTCCCATTCAATAATCCAAAGAGCCTTCAAACCTACGTGACTTAGGGGCCCACATCACTCTCACAAACCTTTGTACATAGCAAGTTTGGACTAAAGACTTCGTAACACCAATTTGACAATTGTTTTAAACCTGACAGCTGCAAAAGAAACGGCATTGAGATGGAGTCCTCCACATACTCTATGTGATTCTCGTTGTCTCAATGTCGTAAACATGGAACTCTCCCATGTTTACAACATTGAGACAATGTTGTAGTAGCCAGGATCCATGGAACTAAAGTAAAAACCATCTCATCTTGGATTACAATCTTCAATAAATTCAAGAATTTACTATTAATTATAGTATAATACGTTCCTTAGTATTATATATGGAGATATTTTTTTAGGTTCATGTCTGTGTGTGTTCTGGATGCTACCCGACTTGAAAACAAATTTAAAGTTACATTTTTTGTCAGTAAATTTACACTGAAAGGCGCAATTAGGCTCTCTAAGAATATAGTTTAACTTACTCGGGGTCGATTTTGTAAGACGCTTGCATATATACCAAATATTTTTTAACATTGACATACTCCTAATTTTCTGGGCCTTTTATTGATTATTGATTTAGAACTAAATAAATTCCCCTAAATATTAAGCTTCCAACCACAAACGACAAAGACAAGCACACTATGAGACTGGGACATGAGCCTGTCCTTGCTACACATGCATTTTTACATCCATTGCATATTTTTAGTTTCAAAGATGAAAAATGTATTTATAATCACAAATTAGTTGTTAGTTGTAACACTTAGCGTTGCTTGTATCAGTGCTTATTCCACCTGTGCGTGTGCTGTGTTCCAGTGTTGCATGAATATTGCATTGTATTAAATAATAAATAGGATATGTTACAGAGTCAGCGGCTTTGCTCCTTACATGCAAATCAAGCAACGCGCATCTGTTGGAATGCCTCCTTCCCGTGGGCAAAGAAAGGGTGCGCGTGTTTTCCTTAACCGCTCATCCGGGCGACGAACGTTTAAGGAGAAAGACGTAACTCCGCCCAGCGTAAATGTCCGCGTAGAACATTAACACTCGCTCGGTCACGTGGCCGGGAAGAAAAAGGAAATAGGAAAGAAAGTAAGAGAGCGATACGGGTGGAAAAAAAAATAAACAACAGGAAGATTAACCGCCCGACAAGAGGAGGCGCCTTTACCAGCAGGTAACACAGCGAATCATCACGATGCCGCGAAAACACCGCCGACGTGCCGCTGCGGGTGCTAGCTAACGTTAGCTTCCTGCTGAGTAGATGCTCATTTGTATTCAGTAAAGGCGTTTAGCTCGTTTCGTGGCCGCAGAGGCGCAGCGGCGTCCCCGTGCTGCGCAGCCGCTCCGCACTGCTCCAAGTGCTGATGTGTCAAACGCGTGTGACCGACAGCGCCTGAGACCGCATCGGTTGTCCGCACACGGTCGCTCTGGCAGAGGTGGAAAGAAAGCTGGACGTCGACCTGTCCCTGTCTCTGTCCCTGTCTCTCTCTCTCTGCTTACTTCTTTCTGTGATGTGTGTTAGCTGGCAGTAACTTAAGTGACGTAACAGAGAAAAAAATGACGTGTTTTGTCTTCCCAGCCTGCCCTTGGAAAGAGGGTAAAAAGACAAAAGAAGATGGAGACATGTTGAATACTTATCTCTTTGTGTGAGATGGGAGGACGGTGGATGTCTGCTGTAAATGAGATAAACACGTGAGTAAAATCTACTTTAAATGTGTATAAAAAGTATTTTAGATTAGTACAGTGATTAGTGAAGTTACACACCTGTATCCTGCCCTCACAGTGTAGAATTGGAGGACTTGTTTACATGGAGGGAGTTCCTAGAGGAACATGTGATCACACTCAATATAACTCAAGTATCAGAGCAGGATGCCATCGGGGTGGAGGCCAGGTGGAAAGCTTCCTGGCACACATCTGCCTGTATAGCTCCCAGGTGTAAAACAACCCATTTCCGGGTTGCACCTGATCCGGTGCCTCCTGAATAAACAAACATGAGCAAATAAAGTACTTTGCCTACTGAACTTGTTTATCATGCCGCCGTGTCGGTGAACCAAAACGTTGCACTCCGGTGGCACTGAGGAAAAATCTACTTAGTTCAATTCAAAATGTGTTTTTAAACTCTGGGATGACCTCTTTACAATGTTCTTTAGGTGAGATAAAGCCTCCATCGAAGAAGAAGAAGAGGAAGACGGGACGAGGGGATGAAGCTGAACGAACGCAGCGTGGCGCACTACGCCACCTGCGACTCGCCGCCGGACAAGACGGGCTTCCTGTTAAAGAAGGGGGAGCGCAACACGGCGTACCACCGCCGCTGGTTCGTGCTGAAGGGCAACATGCTCTTCTACTTCGAGGAGCGCGACGGCCGGGAGCCCATCGGCGTCATCGTGCTGGAAGGGTGCACCGTGGAGCTGTGCGAGTCGGCCGAGGAGTTCGCCTTCGCCGTGAAGTTCGACTGCGCCAAGGCGCGCGTCTACAAGATGTCAGCGGAGAGCCAAGCCGCCATGGAGTCGTGGGTGAAGGCGTTGTCGCGGGCCAGCTTCGACTACATGAGGCTGGTGGTCAAGGAGCTGGAGAGGCAGCTGGAGGAGATCCATGAGGCCGGGGTCGGAGTGGGAGGCCCGCAGGGCAGACCCAAGACCGCCAGGCCCAACCAGGTGGCGCGGTCCAGGTCCGGGGTGTCCTCATCCTCGTTGCCGTGGAGAGAGAGCCTCCAGGAAGACGTGCAGCTCACCTCCGATTCTTCCAAGGAGAATGGAGACGCATGGAGCAGGCCGCCGCCCGTCGCCTTGGCTAACGGCTTCGTGGAGGGGGCGTCCTGTGCGGCCTGGGAGGGTTGCGTGGACTCTGCGAGGGCTCCGCCAGTGCCGCCTAGGAGAAGAGGAGCATCCCTGGAGAGCCCCGTCTCCCCGGGCACCGACTGCTTCTCCAAACTCCACGACTGGTACGGCAGGGAGGTGGAGGAACTGAGGACGCAGTGGCTGCACAGCCAGTAAACTAATGGGGGTGGAAAATCTTTTATTTATTTTTATTCCTCCCAGTTTTAGCATTCCTTTTCAGATCCTTCTTCATTGCTACGCCCCTCTGAACCCAAAAGACGAGTGACAAAACAGAGGCTTATTTGCAAACTGCAGTCCTTTCTTATATAAAAAAAAAATGGATTGATTCCAGATCTCGTCTGGCACAGGGGAATCAGTCCGTCTTTAAAATTCACACTATCCATTGTACAATCCAAGACATTTTAGAACAGAAAAATACCCTCTTTTGCACAGTTTTCAATGTGTTTTGCCACAGCATTTAAAGTGCTCATCATTTATTAAACGCCTTTCTAACAAGATGCTTAACAGTTTTGCCTTGATCGTCCTTATTGGACAAACAATTCAGAAAAAGAGGCTCTTCTGTGAGTATACTGCCGAGGTTCCAGATTTGTTCTGCTCTTCTAGCTTCCAAATATATGTGCGCTTGTTTTGCGGTTCGTTCTCTTTCAAGCAGTCGCATCCTTGATTTAAACCATACTTGCTATGTAGGTATACACGCAGAATATGGTGCTGAACATCCGAGGAATGCCAAAAAAACAACCAATCGCTACATTCAAACAGTTTTCTGAGGATGTTTTTGTTTCATGCAAATGAAATCAAGACAATCCAGATGGGCCAGGTTGCCACGGTGACGCATCATCCACGACACACAAAGGTGATGGCCACGGGAAAATTTTGCAGCTGATGATGTAATACAGCAAGCGCCAACATCAGGAGGCCGTTTGTACCATCGATGACACTCTTCCGATCTGACAGCAAGGGCATGAGACGACTTCCTGTAAACGGGAGGGAGACCGGTGTTGGTCGAATGTTCAGATTCTACTCCCAACGGGGGGAGGGGGCCCGGCGGCCGCTTAAGGTCGGCAGTCACTGGGGGCCGCGGTGGGAGCCGAATGTCTCGCTCAGAGCGGGACGCTAGTATTTTTAGCCTTTTTTTTTAGCCGGCGGCCAGATGATGCCGTGTCATAAGAGTGCTCATCACTCAGTTCTCCTTCGGCTCCTGTAGCTCAGAAAAGGAGACTGCGTGAATCCGCCGTAGCAACTAACCCCCTCGCTCTGCATGTACGTATTTAACCAATCCATGTCCCATGGAAAATGCCGCCGGCACCGGCGCCTTTTTTAAAATGATTGTTTTTCTATGTCAAAAAAATCACACTTTTTTTTTTATGTGCCTTACGTTATTTGTATTACTTTGTTACTGCGCTTGCAACCATTCCCAAAGGTCTATAGCAAAGAGAGTGTTACTGAACTGCTTCCCTTGCTTCCTTTCATTCCTTTCCTTCCTGACAATGGCCGTGTTCCTAGAGTTATCATCGTTCCACAACACAGCCGAGACTGTTATACGCACGGCTTGTACGGAAACAATTGTGGGAAGGAGTCCTATACCGCGTGGATGGGGTCCTTTTTGTCAAGGAGGTATGCTCTTGACAAGTATTTACTAGAAGGATTGTTGTTGTGCAGATTTGCTTAACTCGAGAGAAGCAGTAGAGTGAGTACAGATGATGACTCTCTGTTAAAGGATAATAATAATAATTGAGATGAGTGTGTGTCTGTCAAATCAACCATATGAATGATAATCTTATATCAAGAGTGCCAAATGAGGAATGCAACATAAAGGCACAAATCCAATCCAATTGTCTTTCCACGGTTTTTGTGCAATTTTTCATTTTTATAGCACACAATATATAAATTGTTTTAAATAACCATTTATATTTAACACATTGTCCTAAAATGGTACCATGACATGATGTTTGTAAATTGTAATAAACCTGTTGATTGCACATTGTGAACGGTTTTGTGATATTTCATGATATCTGGCTACGTATTACATTGTTTGTACTATCTTCATTGTACTTAATCTCAAAGTTAAGTGTGAATGGGTAGCAGTGGACGACATTCTCATTTTTTTTTCTCAAGCATCACTACAACAGTTTTGAAATACTGTTTGAAGTCATAGTCTGACAAGCAAAACCCTGAGTAAAATGACTATTTGCTCAATACATTCGCCTCATGATAAAGTAACACTCATTATGCCGGAAAGGCAATTTTAGATGGATATTACTGGATTATAATTATAATTATTTTACAGTCATTGCCTGTATATCCCCGCACGAGCTACACGCTGTTCCTTTAAGGCTTTCAGACCAGTGTATGTTCTAACATTCCCCCGCTGATGATCCCCTGAATTCACGCAAGACATCCTGCAACCACACGCATTATTTGCGCTGTTTGGCCTAAATCTCACCAGGGGGCGCTGCGCATAAACTTTAAACCGCAGTCCTAAATCTTTAGACTTCGAGTGACATCAATGACTGCACCACAACCGGAGATGCAGCAGCAGGTCTTTGATTGTTTAGTGAACAAAAATAATAATTTGACATTTTAAATGTTTTTTTTTTAACGTGCCCCGTTTTTTCATGTTATAAGGACAAAAATGGGCAATAGGAGATGCACGCGCATCTTGGGGGTCGTGTCTTTGCACAAAAGCCGAGTTTAGTGTGGTGAGTTTGCAGCAAACGGTGTGGCACCAGCTGAGCTCGAGTCCAATGCAAATGTTCTGTATCTGAATGGTGGATTGAGTCTCTTTCACATACTGTACTTGACCAGAGGACTTCACACAACACGGGAGCTACTTCCTGTGGATATTTCAACATAAAACCTGTTCACTGATACATACAACGGAGTTTCTCGCTCATTTTTGAGGTTGTAGTTTCTGGTGCTGGAACAAACACTACATCTCTCTAACGTTTAACATATGTTTTACTTCAGGACTGCTTTAGTTTTAGTTAGGTGTACTTTATAAACTGACAACTAAGTGTGAATATATAATATACACGTAAAACCAAGGGTTTATTCATTGTTTTGCACACGCTAATTATTAGTTTGTATGTTAAGGAATTTAGCTATAAACAGGGTTTTTTCGTGTCACAATTTGAATGGCTGGGATTACATAACACAGAAGTGTTTCGCAGACAATTCATTAGATCAGCCAGTGATTAGGTTGCTAAAAGAAACAAATAAAGAAGATATAAAATATCCTCCTGGTTATTCCAGGCGTGGTCGCTGCTGAGCGTTGCTTACTAAACACAGGCAAGCTTGCATCTTTTATTTTGAAAAGCACAGAGCCGGAAGCTCAGCTGTGAATTTACACCGACTCGGCACAAGCTTGACACAACCGGACCGCGGCGCTTTTTTTTTTTGACAGCGGAAATGAGGAGTCGCCAGTTTTTTACGCGTCAAGTCCACTGCTGAAAGTTTTTCTTTCCTCTTTTTCTCGTCGTCGTCTCGCCCGCCGAGGAGGAACCGTTGCTTTTACTCACCATGAGAGAGAACGCGACGGACTTCTGAACGTGCAGCTCCCCCCCCCCCCCGATGTCCAGTTTCCTGTTGCTCCTCGCCGCGTCGTTGTGCGTTACTTTAGACGCCTCTCAACACATTTCCGTTATGCGAAGTCCAACTCGCTGGTTCGTCGTCGTGCTGCGGTGGGTGCCCATCCGAGATAACGGAGAACGTGAGTATGGAGGACTATCAGCGTTCGTTACCTTGTCTTCTTAAAGTGGCTTTCGCATCACTAAACTCTTAACCACATGGGGGGGATAATCCCAAAAAATGACGAAACGCACCAACAATGTGGACATATTTCGCTTCCGTCCAAAACTTCACTTTGTTCTTGCTCCGTATTCGTCGAAATTAAGTTTGAAATTTAAAGGGCTCTTCGGCTCCGGGCCGGTGGTCCTCGCGCAGACTTTTTACCCCCCCCCCTCCCTCCTCAACATAAGTTTTGTTGGTTTTGTCGCACCTTCGGGCAGCGTTTTGTAGCGGATTGCAGCCACAAAAGATGCGCAGCGCACGTGCCTCTCTCCGCTAAAGTAACGGCAGGAGCTCAACTGCGCCGAACTTTTTCATTCTTCTTCATTATTTGGCGAAAATATTACAAAGGCGGCGGTCTCCATGGCGACGTTCGCAATGCCCGCACCTATTGTGATTCCTGTGAATGGGTCGACGAAGGACACCTAACCGTCCCACCCCTTCTCCAACCAACGCGTTAAAAAGTGTGCACTTGATGCGTGAACTTGGTCGTCGTGTGAAGTGTGCGGCTGCTCGGGGTCAGGGGTCACCGCTCGTGACTGCGGGATGGGCAACGGGAGGAAGTGAGGAGTGTGTGTGTTTTGCAAGGGACCCACCTCTATTTATAGCTTGTGTGTGTGTGTGTGTGTGTGTGTGTGTGTGTTTGGATGCAGGAGCACATTCCTTCAAAGGAAGAGGCGCCTTCTCTCTGTTTGCGTGGATGCAACAGGTTCTGAAGTTGTGATGGTTTCCAAATGTTTCTGAGCACATTAGTAGTGGGACATTTAGTGGGAGCGCGGACCATTGATCAAATCTTACATTCCTGTGCAGTATTGTAGTGAAACACATTTGAGGTACTTTACTCTTTGTATTTTCACTCGACAACATTTTGGACCGCAACATTATATGACATGATATGTTTAAATAAACCCCACTATGACCGCCTAAAACAAATTAAGATACGTTAATTCATCATTATTAGCAATAATTTTAATGATAATGACACTTAATAACACTTTTAAAGTTGCGAAGTACTCACAATGAGGTATAGCACATTTCAAAATGCATTTTGCCCAAACTGCTTATTCATTTTTACCAAATTTTGGACTGCTGGACTGGTTGTATCACTACTTTTAACATACTTCCACCATTTCCTTTATATGTGCATCCACATGTCTCCCAAAGGTCCAAATGATATTTTTTGCCTCCATCTGCCAGCCTGTTTCCATTACAATTACACAACAGGCCTCAGTTGAACTCCGAGAGAGCCCGAGCATTGTGAAATGTAATAAATCCCATTTTGCCCGACCAACCGACATGCTAACTGTTGGATGAGCTCTGGTTTTCTAACGAGGCCAAGAGTATCAGTTCTGTGGCCGCCGCGCGTTCCGCGTTTTGCTCTGATTTGACTGTTCTCTTTGAACAAACAAGATCGGGTAATAATCTGCAGAATACGCATGCTGTTCCTGTGGTTTTGGGAATGGCCGACAAACTGAATTCATAAATCGCTATTTATGAAAATGTATATTGGGCAGCCAATTCTTTAAGTTTAGTGCACCATGCATGTTGTGACACAGTGCATTATTTAATAAACAACAACTAATAGGCAGCCCGTGTATTGAAAACAATGTTTAGGCCTGTCTTCAAGGAATGTCCCTCGATAGCATGCGTTGTATTTCCAGGCCGTCTTTAAGCTGCACGTCATCTCACATGTATAACAACACAATTGCAGGGTACGTGTTTATATTCACAGTAATTCCAGACCCCGCGGAGGTCCACAGTTATTGTGGATTCAGCCCCCGTTAATTGTGACAGCTCTCACACCCTGAGTCACCAACGCACCAGGAGCGTGCCTCTAGGGGAGGCGTGGGGGGGGCGGGAGAGGGGTATGTGGGGGGGGGGTTAAATCATATTTTCCACGGCAGACTGGCTGAAGTCAACCACACAAAAGGTTGACTCTTGATTTAAAGGCCCAGCGCGTTTCTGGGTCTGTAATTGGCATTTACCCTTCCGGGCAACGTTTCCGATGGATTCCAGAAACAAGTTGTTTTGTAAACATCGTCGATTCCACTACAGGCCTCCTTTGTTTTTTGGACGGTTGGATATTTTGGGGGGGGGGGGCGTCTCCACTTTTCTTTTGCTCGGCGCTGTGTGGACAAGAGACGTCCTGTTGTGGCCCCTCCTAACACAGCTACATTTATAAAATAGAAGCTAATGACCACAAAGTATTGATAGAATGTTATTCTGTGATCTTCATGTCTAAAGAGCACGTGAGTAGAAATTCCGGCTTCGGCATTGAAAAATGTCGGACTCTCCCCGTAGAGGAAGGAGGCGCTTGCTCAACATGATTCTAATGAGATTTTCTGCGACTTGACCCTATTACTTGGTCGGGGATTTTGTCCACAACGCAATATTGTCTGGCTTTCTTGATGAGACGTATTTCCTTGAAAGAAAAAAAACAAACATATAGCTTCTTAGAAACAAGATATTTTCTCACGCGTGCGTCATGTGTTGACGTGGAACTGAAGTACACACAAAAACAAGTTGTGGACCCTGCCAGCCGTGGACTGGACAACATCAGGGATCAGTGTGCCAACTCGTGAGTCGTCCACTCAGGAGACGAGACGAGGAAAAGAGGGGAACCATGTGGAGTCCACTGACTAGAAAGACAGAAGACGCAAATTAGGGCAGAAAATGGAGGATAAGAAAGTAATTTTTGGGTGTCAATAGAATATGTGTGTGTGTGTGTGTGTGTGTGTGTGTGTGTGTGTGTGTGTGTGTGTGTGTGTGTGTTTTGACTCATGAGGCACTTGGCCACCCAAACAGCTTAGCGGAAATATGTCAGGCTCACTCGTGGACCACACACACACACACACGGCATACAGTAGGATTAAGTTCCTGCTTGTGTGTACGCATTTGTGCAAGCGTTTTTGAGGGGTGGAGAGGGAGACACTCACTCATGCACGCCTGTGTGTGTTTTTTCCATAGCAGCGATAATTAGAGGCCGTGTGTGTGTGTGCGTGTGTGCATCTGTCCGTGTTTACTCCCAATGCACCCCGGTTCGCGTTGTTGAAGAATGTTGATTATAGGCCAGATATAGCTGCAGCAGCACGGGGATGTAGCTTTCAATGCGTGTGTGCTTCTGGGTTAGCAGCTACAATACGTTAATGTGTGTGTGTGTGTGTGTGTGTGTGTGTGTGTGTGTGTGTGTGTGTGTGTGTGT